AATGTCTGTAGTAAGGATCACAAAAAAAAAAACACAACAACATTTATCTGCAAATAGGAATTTAGCAAGCTTCAAAAATCTCGGGGAAAATAATAGACTTCTTTGTCTTCTGTAATGCATTTTCTTAGTGCGGTGGTAGAGGTGGGTGGATGACAAATATTTGAAAACTTTTAACCATTAAAATTATGCTGCCATATTTTGATGCAGCATATTTGATTTCATATTTGATGAAAAGGTTCCCTTGCTCAAGTTTATGATAATTTTAACTGTATGTTCCGTTTCTTAGTGTTAATTACATGAAATTATGTGCACTTTTATTTAATTTATTAATATGGGAAGCTACATAGAATAACCATTTTAAGAATAAAAGTCAAACTCTTTAATTGGAAACTAACCAGTCACTGCTGATGAGGCATTTCAAGCTTCTTTAAGGAGTGCCTAGACATATAAATGCTTAAAGGTTTTTATGATCTGGATTCTAATGAAGTGAATCTACAGGGCAGAGTTGAGAACAATGAATGAGTAACAAATATTTTGAGGTACCTATTCAAAATAGAGGCAAAGCTGTTTGTAGTTACTAGCAAAAAAGAAAAAATATGCTAGGAATAAAATGGTAGACCTGTCCGCTCCTGATGTCAAAGCTTAATTTTTCCCCGAGTTAGAGCTTCACTTTGTTGCTGGTTTTATACCATTTCTTTCTCTGACTTAGCAAAGTACTATACAAAAAAATGATTGTTGCAGTTCACCAGCATGCATGGTGAGAATGAAAGGATGTAGAAATGAGATGGAAAATGTTGCTAGATTGTGAAGCACTGAATACAGGCAATAGCAATGTTAGGTAGGGACTAAGTATAAAGCAGACCTGAGAAATATGAGCAGGCTTTCATACCATCTTTTACAGTATAAGATGGCGTAAATTTAGAGGTGTTAGGGAGGAGAACTGCAGAAAAACCAGGTTTACCTGTTGATGAGATTACATGTATTGTGCCTTTCATTGAAACCTGTTTTCTACACCTTTTCCAGGATGGCAGTGGTAGGGTATTCATTTTGGAACACTAAATATATTTTAGGCAATGAATAAGAACCTATTAGTGTATATTTTCTTAATGTTGGAAGACAAAAAAGAGACAGGTGGCCTTCAAAAATTAATAGCTCTTAAAAGGCACAAGGAAATACAATTTAAGGATATGTTCTTGTCAGACCTTGGTGAGAAGCTGTGTTTTGGGGGTGCTGTTAATTAAGAACATTTCCCCGTTGGCGTAAGTGTCTCACATTTTTGCCCTTGGTGCTCAGCTCACCATGAGCACGGTCAATTCACAAGGTAGTTTTTATAAATAAAGGTTTTGGGCAAGCTGAACATGGTCCAGAGAGATATTAATGAGAGGGCAAGGGGGAAGAGTTAATGAAAACACACTTCCTGATGTAACATAAACTGCTTTTTGGAACTGGAGAGGCTTTAAAATTATTTTCCCAAAACCCTGTGGCGTTTCTTTTCTGGAGGCGATGAGATGGGGAGAAATGACAAATGGCTTTGTTTTATTATTTTCTCTTCTCTTGTTCTCCATATTTTTGGTAGGGAAAATTGGACATTTATTTTGGCCGTTTTCCTTCTATTCGCAGAATCAATTACATTTTTGGTGTATTATGCGTGGTAAATACACTCAAGCATCCTCTGGCTTAAAAGCAATGAGTTGATTATTCGAACATCCCTTCTTTAAAGGCAGTTAATTGCATGGAAAATATAGGCCCCCATTGTCTGGTCCCTTTAAACTTTTATTCGGAGATTTGTTCCCAGGGTCTGGGCTGTGTAGTGGTTGTTCTGCATCATTGGCTGTTGTATATTCCAAGAAAAATAATTTTAAGCTTTTAAATCATACAGTGATTGAAGTCTTGCATTTCAGATGGACTGAAATCTCAGGCCACTAGTTTTCAAGGATCTACAACATTTTGTAACCTATATCACTTAAAGGAGGCTTGGCTAGCTTCGGGAGAATACTGCCTTCTAGAGGGTTATGTGAATCAGGAATTGTGGCTAATTTTTTCTTTTGTAGATTGCTGCCTGTTCTGGAATTTTTTTCTTCCACTCAAAAGTGTGATGGTACCATCTAGAATTATCTGTGCTTTTCAGTGGAACAGAGTTAGATCACATCTCTTTAGTTGGAGGAAAATTTAGTGAGTGTTCTAGTTGACATGTCACTTCGCAGTTCCCCCATAGTTACATAATTGGTGTTGTGTGTGTCCATCGTAGAGGACATTTGATGCTCATTTATTAAATATGCTTGCTGGCTGCTGCCGCATCTTTGTTCTGGACAGACAAATTACCTTTCTCACACTGAGCTTCCACTCTGGGGAATTAAGCCTCCACCACTTTAATTAGCTTAGAAGTGGGGGGTTGCAGTTCCTAATAGACTACAGGCTTTTTGTAAGTTAGGGAAAGAGTGAAATGAGAACTTCTGGGAAGCTCAAAATGTCATTTAAAAACCATAAAAACCTAATATATATTATTTCATTTTGGTAATTGCAAACAGATTGTATTTGACAAGTGTGTGGATTTCCATTTCTGACTTAGACATTGAAGCTACCCTTGCATTGAACTATGTTCTTTTTTCTATCACAAGTCATTAACACATTACATGTATTGATTCACATATTTGTGTAACTATAGCAGACATAGCAGATAGGAAATAGTGAAAAATATGTGAATATTTGTACATAGAAATTTTCATACAGACACACATACACCTATAGGTAGTACCAAATGGGTGAATATTTTTCACATGGGGATATCAGAATAATAATGATAACTGCCATTATTCGTTGAGGTTTTATTAAGGGCCAAGCACTGTTGAAAGTGCTCCCCTATGTATTATGTAATTATCATAACAGCGTCATTATCCCTTCTTTAAAGATGAGGAAACTGAGACACAAGCAGTTTAAGCAACATTCCTAAAGGTTACACGGTTGAGTTTATTAACCCCAAACTTCCTGGGTAGGAACTTGTCTTGGAATGTCCCCGCTATTTAAAAAATTCAAGATCCCACTGCTGGGCAAGATGTTACATTCCTTTTGGAAAGACACTTTCTCTTAACAGAGTTAAGCAATTAATTGTAGTACTTTACACCAGAAACTTTCTGAGTGTCCATTTTCTGTCTCATTTTCTTTGCTAGTAAAACTGCAGAAAATGTTATGCTTTAGTTCTTCACTGCCAGAGTAAGTAGCATAGAAAGCCTCTATCAAGTCACAGTTGGAAAGTAATCTAATACAAGAAGATTAGCGAATGTGGGGAAGACAAAAGCAGTCATATTTGAGTTTAATATCTCTCAAATTTAGCATTTTAGCTAAGATGCCCGTTTTTATTTCTTGCAGGTCTGCTAAAAGGTCAGAGTAATGCAGAATGCGTGCCTTCATCTCAGATTTGTTCATCACAGGTGGATCCCATGTGTCTTCAATAGACAAGTCACCTTTGTAGCTAGCACCAGTGCCAGCTCCATGCCATTGCACCTTCTTTAGTCTTGATTGCCCTTCCCGCATTTATTGGTGTATTAAAATGACTGAATATGAACATTAAGGACTCCATGAACCTGGGCTAATGGGAGACTGTAGAGAAAATGAAAAAAGATCCACCAGAGGACATCTTGGGGGGGGGGAGGGAGCTGGGGGGGGAGGGAAATGACTAATGAAGCTAATTAAAAGAAGCATTCAAATCTGCTTTCTACCCTCATTAACAATTAGCAGGGCACTGGCCAGAGTTTGTACCCTGTGTTTTACCTTAACAACATTCTATTTGCTCTTTGTATATTTAAGTGTTGTAAGGAAACGTGTTTCAATCAAAACTGAACATGAGATAAAGGAAAGAGATGTGGCTTTTGTGATATTCTATCACAAACACTTATTGTATCTCTGTAAAATACAATGTATGTATGCATGTAAGTGTTTTGTCCTAATGTTGCTACTCCCATGGCAAAGAAAAAAAAGAATGAAAAAAAGAAAAAAAAATTGGAAAAAAAATCAGGCTCATAGCAGCTACTGTGTAGAAAATTCCCCCACTTCTAATTTGCTGAATGAAGAAAAAAAAAATCTTTTATTTGTGATATTTTCAGAGACATTTGCTCTAGTATGGTGTATTTAAATAATAAAAACTTAAAAGAAAAAATATTTAATGGTGTTTGGGTTTAAACACTGCTTTTTCTTTTCTGTATTTTGGAAACATTCAGTTTTTATTATTGAATAACAAGCTCACTTTAAATTTGAAGGAGTTGAGGGAGGTGGTATATTTATTTAGCTCTTGACCAGTAAGATATTCTTCAAATTACTTAACCACGCCATCCATTATTGGCAGGGGTACAAAGCAAAGTTTCTAACAGTCCTTTCTATAAGTCAAGAATATTCTGTTAACAGCATTTCGTTACACTTCTAGATCACAGTAAGTCTTTTGTGTTTATATATAAATACTTGAGTATCCACTATTTTGTTTATTCTTTTTCTCAATAGCAAAGCCTTGGGTATTGATGAAAAGTATGTAAAAAAAATAAAAATATATATATATATATATATATATGACACAACCATCCTGCTCTCTTACCAAGTTTATAGCTTTTGAAGGAAGTCACAATTTCTAAGTCATAACTGTACATATTTTGAAACTCACCTAGTTGTAGGGACCCAGAGTTCTTTTATAGTGATCTTTGATGGGTGAAGTAGCTGTTTCCTGGTGACCTTTAGGCTCGTGTGGTCGGCTATAAGATATGTTTATTTTGTTTTGCTCCTAGACTTCTTGACTGACTCTGCCTTTCTGTATGTATTTTGGGGGAAGATTCTGACTTCATTTAGTCTTAGTCTTGAGATACTGAGTTGCTGGTTGCAGGCAGCAGAATGTCCACGACAGCGCCTGCACTGCCCGCAGAGCTGCCCTCCGGAAAGCATGTGGGTATAACACAGCTAGTGCTAGAAGGAGGAAAACCAAATAGGCCTGCAGGCTGAGGTTGTACTGCCAGCTTCCTTAGATGTGAGCAAATTTCAACTATAACTTCCATCACAGACTAATAAAACCAGGTGTGTGAACACTAGTATTTAAAATTTTCTTTTTTAAGATGGCATTTATTTTGTTCCAGAAAAGCGCCTGGTGTAGACCCTCCCTCTGAGAATAGCCATGGAGCCATGTAGAGAGGTCTAGCCCAGCACATCTCAACTACCAGTCAGCTTCCCTTTGAGAAATGTGCTCACTTCCTGTTTTCAGAGATTCCAGGGCAGGGGGGAAAAAATCAGTTGCTTGAACCTCAAACCTAGAGGAGATTGTAAAGGCAGAAGTGAATAGTTTTGTTAGAACCTTATAAAAACAAAATGCAAGGAAATAATATGAAGAAATCACATATATATCTGTTTGAATTAGATGTCTCTCTGAATTAGATCCTTGGGGAATTTCTTCAAGCTAGTTGCTGGTTCTTATATTTGTTTTTGTTTTTGTTTTTTTCCTTTAAGAAACTTTCTCAAGGAAGTTAGACTGGGATGGTAAAGGGGGAAATATGTTAATGAGATTGCAGGCATTTTCTATATTCTTTTTGGCATGAGCACTCATGTCCCTGATAGTGTAGAAATTCAAAGGAGGTGGTTAATAATTTTAGTAAATAATATATTGTGGCATTTAGTGATGTGGAGGGCTAAGGTCATTACAGACTTTAAATAAACTATTATATGGCTGGTTCCTCAAGCACTGCTGCGTATTTAATAATGAGCTTCTAAAAGCATTTCTTAAGTTGCAGACCTATAAGATTACAAATGTCACTCATGTTAGTATAATCCACATGCAAGTGATGAAGCCTTCTCTTTGATGTGCTAAATTGGAGAAGGACTAATGGAGCTATGAATATACAATAGAACATATTTAAGTAGTAGTCTTGCTTTAGGTAAAACACTTTCTTGAAACCAGAGGCATTTCAAACAATAAAACCTGGCTCTAATGGGGATGCTCTGTGTGGATGGAAAGCTACTAAAAACACTCAGGTTTATTCAGATGTGAGCAGCGATTGTGTGCAGTTCCTCCCCCAACCTCAGCATTGCTTAGGAAAAAAAAAAAAAGTCTATGAGTTTATTCTACCTTTCATCCATTGCATTTGTGATGTTACTAGTTAGCGAGATGGACACTTCTTTTGAAAGGATTTACTTAATATTAAGCATGTCATAGAGCAAGATGGCCCCCAGTCCCTACAAGCAAGTGCAATTAAAAATAAAAGCAAACGTTACTTAGCCCTGCTGAACCGATAAAAAAAATTATGTTTATGATACATATAAATGTCTCAATCATGCAAATTGTCACTCTTGCTAATGAAACAATTTTGTAAAAAGATTGTCCTCTAAAAGGGTTTAATGTTTTTTACCTAACTGTCTAGTTAGATTTACACATCCCGCAAGGCAGGGGAGCCTGAAGCTTTTCCAAACCAAATTGTTTGCCACTAGAAACTATTTTCAGCTCTTTCATGATTTATTAGGAAATAGTTTAACCTGGACTGTAGTGTCTTATACAAAATGAGAAAACTGTCACACCAAAATGAAGTTGTGAAATTGTCATCCTCTTAATATTAGCTGTGTTTAAATTCTTTTGCCCTTATTAACAGATATTTGAAACAACTGAACATCTAAAATGAAGCCCTTAAAGGGCTTCAAATGTCAATATAGTAAGATTCTAATGTGTACTACTATTTATATAAAATGTTTCTTAGGGCCCATAAATCATATAACAGTGAACCCAAGATCTACATATGGAGTCTAGTGAAGAGTTTCTGTGTAGCCTAATTGGATTTAAATTAAGGAAATCAAAAAATCCTTTCACCCTTCACCCCAAAGACCCCTTCACCCTTCACCAGGGAGTTCTGTCCTGGGTGCTGTCCCACCTATGACTCCTTTAAGAGGCCATTGGAAAAAGGCCATTTACAAGTTAATGTTACTTGTAGCTTTGTTACTAAGACTCACCTATTGTTAGTCCAGCCAAGTCACAGAAATGCTTATTGCAGTTAAATAGCAATTTGTTTCCATGAAACTGCAATTAAAGTATTACTGAGCAGCCATTTTAGATTGGCAGTGCTCTGAACGCATGTTAAACAGGCAGCTACTCCCACTTGCAGAGTCTGAGATCTGACTAGCAGCAAAGTGTAACACATTCACCGATGCTGGGTACCTAGTTAAAGAGGCATTTGTAGCCCTCTTCTCCCATAGTGAACATGCTGAGAGCAATGACAAGCGGGGGCTGATTTTTGGAAGGTGAACTTGCAACTTACCTCAAGTGAATACTGTTTTCAGTTGTACAAGAAGTGCTTTATGCTAGTAGATACGTGCATGTTTCCTAGAGGGAATGTTTTCAAGTTCAGATTGATTCTGCTGAGAATGGACGGCAACTCGGAGGCCTCAAGCCAATAATGTACTACAGGCCCTGACATGTTACAGCTGTGTAAACAGGGCCATTCTATTTCCTAAATCACAACTAATAAAGCAGAGGATGAAAATCAATTGATTCAGTTATAAGTTCTTTGAATGACACTGGAAAGTTGTTTAATGACTCCCTGTTAGAATGGACAAGCCTGAGTAGAGTCACCAAAGTACCGATTTTAATTGTCTCTCTCCCCTCAGAACCAGGGCAGGACAGCCTTTCCTAGGTATTGACATCATCACCACCAGATCAAAACCTGCTGGGAGAGGAAGGATCTGAACTGAGTTCTTCCAGTAGATCTGACATTCAGAATTTGTTGAGTGAGAAAGGTGAAGTGCAAAGGTTGCATTGAAAATGTGAAACATGGATGCAAGATCCTGAGAGAGAAAAAAGATTTCAGAGGTGGTGTTTTAAAATGCAATTAGCACTGAATTCTAACCAGTTGGAAACAATCATTAGCTCATGAGAACAGGAGGCATCTCACCTTCCTTCACTCTAGAACAACCCCCCATCTTGAACTAAGAGATTCACATCCCCAACTTCTTCAAAAACAATTTTTATATTTGTATGCTTTCACCTGTTGTTTGAGCTGCAAGTTTTGTCTTAAGAGTTTCTTCCTAAATTAATTTTTCATTTTTGGTGAATTGAATGTTCTTAGGAACTGTAAAGAGAATCTGAGGACAAACAGGATTTACAAATGAAGATTAATTATGAAACCTGGAAAGGAAATTGATTTCTTGGGTTGTTACTGTACCTTTTTCTTTACTTAAATAAGGTTTCGTAGGAATAGGTGTGTCTTAAATTCTATTTCTCTAAGGCCTCTGATTCAGTTTCTGTCATCAATCATGGGACTTAAACTTGCCATAAACCTTACATCTTTAAATACAATGTTTAATATAATAACTTTATCTTGGAGTTGCATAAAGCTTTGTAAATGTATTTATACATTTACGTTTACAATGAACAAGTACTTACACATGCAATATTATTAGGCCCTCATAATCCTTTGAATTATTATTCCCTCAGTTTTACAGATGAGGTAACTAAAGTTCAGGGAGATTACTTATTAAGCAGGGCTAAGAGAAAGGTCGAGGTTAGTGGGCACTTATTTTGGGTGTAGAATTTAAGGAGGTGTCAAAAAATCAGTAATTAAGATAATCTTTTAATGCAGCATTTTAAAATCAATGCAAAAAACATGATGAACAAAATGTCACAATTTTAAGTAGAGGTGGGGTCAATATTACTTTGGTTTTGCCGCAGCCTCCAACGTGTTGGGTGTTGTTATTAAGGCCCAGGGTCCCAGAATTGCTATTGAATGCTGGCATTTAGGACATTTTGGTAAAATTACCTGCACTGATGATGTGCTTTATCCTGTTAGCTATAACTAGTTTCTTTCCTCTTAAAAAAACATTGCATTTTGTCTTTATCCAACCTGAAATGCCAACTGATTTAGATTGCCCACATTTCAGCCTTGCTCTAAGAGATATTTCTTTTGAATTTTGAGAAATCTCAACTCCTTCATGATGAATATTTAGGTATAATTGATAATAACTCTGCCCACAAATTGTTGTTGCTGAGGAACAAGAACAAGACTTTCATAATCATATTAGTTCAGGAAGAAAAATGGATCAAAATACTCCATACAAAGTAGTAAAGGATGTGTTCAGAATGTTTGAATGAGCTGTGGCTTGAGCCACGTAAAAGACCTTACAGTAAATTAGATTATATAAAAGTCATTTGTACTTGTATAAGTAGAAAAGAAGTAATACACATGAACAGTTTTAGGAAAAGTTTTTACATATTCTAGTGTGATGTAAAAAGTAGACATACCTCAAAGGAACTGATATTAGGATGGGAAAGCACTGAGACATTCAAAGAGAACAAATTACACCTTTACTTGTACACTAACAATTCTCAGATTATTTTAAAATTTTGTTGGCTGTACTTTCTATTTTCCCATTAATTGCTAGGGTTTAAAAAGATACAAAAAATTGTACTTTTTAAAATAAGTTACTTGAACAAGTAACATATTAAATCCAAGCTGCCTTTATTACAAAGGGAAAAATGGTTAAAAATATCTACTCCAATTTAATGAAACATTCTTTAATGTTGATATAAAATGGTGAAGCAAAAAGCAAAAAAGACTTATTTTTGTGTGTGTTTTTGCACAGACTGTTGACTGCAGTGGATTTGGGTGCCAAAGTACCAATTCTTAAAGCCCATAATTTCTATATGTTATTTCATGGGGTATCTCGCAACCCAATGGCCCTTTGCATGCTATCTTTTAGTCTTATTCTACTATGTGCAAAATGAGACTGAAGCTAGCCAGTATGTGTTTTTTTTAGTCCAAAGACTAAATTACCCTTCTCATTGGTTATGGATGGATATACATATATCCACCTTAGATTATAAGGACCTGGAAAAATATGTATAGATCAACATACCTATAGATTCAAACTACAGAATATCAATAGAAAAGGGCAAGATGCTTTGTAGATATGTGTACATTATGGCCTAAGGTCATAAATTAGTAAGTGAAGTCTGATGACAACACTGAGGAGTAGGCAAGATTTGCACCAGGTATGGAGGCTGCAGGACCTGTATACTCAATTACTTGGTTATACTACTCTATAGTATAACCAAAAACCATGATACATTCCAGTTTTTCAATAAATGCCATCTGTACCCAGAGCTGAATAGCCAGTACAAACCATACCCTGAATAATATTTACCAGTGGTGTTTCTTTTTTTTGGCAGTGGGTGGGAGTGGATGTTTATGAAATTGATAATAGATGAAATATTTTCTCTTAGAATTCTAGGCTATGAGGAAATTTCTGTCGTGATAAAAAGGAGGGTAGGGAGAATGGAAGGAACAATTTTCTAGATAAATAGCTCTGCGAGGGAGTTTAAGGGGCTGGGGTCTCTCACTGCAGTTCGGGAAGAAGGATGTACAGGCCCCACAAACACCCCTGCCGCACATCTCATTTCAATGGTTTTGTTTGTCTTATTTCACGACTGTCAACAAGACCCTCTGCCCTAACCACCCGCACAGGTGCTTTTGCTGTGTGTGGTAAAACTCAAGCTATGCTTTTGTGTACTTCAAGCTCCTGTAAGGCTGTGACATCAGGAGGTCTCAGACATTAGCAGAGTTGGCAGTTTTTGAAAGTTGATGTGATACAGCATTTGGTGACACTTCACAGGTGTGTCAGGGAGAGCTAAGGCGGAATGAAAATTGCAATAGAAAAAAAGCAGACTCCAATGCTCTTGATGAAGTTTGAGGTACCACTGTGGAAAAAAAGGCCTCCGGTTCATTAAAGCTACAGCCTCTGGAAATCGAATCCTTTCTTTCTCTGAGAGTAGAGGGAGGCAGTAGGAGTCAGAAGAAATGGAGGGGGCAGGTTTGAGTTTTCTGATTTGTTACTGAGTGAATCAGGAAGATAAACAGGCTTGATTTTCAAAAGACGGGCAATCCTAAATGGATTTCTGACACTGAGGTCTAGCTAGGCCTTTCTTTCTTCATGGGAATGGATATGATTCACGAAACTCCATCAACCACCTCATGCTGCAAGCAATTTTTTTTTTAACCCTCTTTAAGTAGTAAAACATGTTTTAAAGTTTTAAAAAAGAGGGAAAGAGAATTCAGGCTGGCTTTGGAGTTCTTGAAAACCAGACAGTCTTTGCTGTGGGTGAAGTAAAGGTGTAGCTATAATATTTTTCTCCCTAAGTTGTGTGCTATATTTTTTAGCCTGGAATTTGATTTCTAGTGGCCTACCAAAGCATTCTGCCTCTGGAATCCCCTTGTTTTGCATGCAGATGGCATGTTAATGAACTCTCTACTGTGCATTTTATCCCACTCTGGACACATTTGTGACATTATTTTTCAAAACTAAATGAGGTTAGGCAGTTGGTTGATTGGGCCTGATGAGAATTGGGTGACTAAGTTGAAAACATTCTCAAAACAGTACCCACTTACCCAGGGTTGCTGCTAGATGTTCTATGAAACAATCCTTCCCCACAAAAAAGGTAGTTGGGTTTCCCTGCGTACATAGAGACTTGTAGAACTGTGTGCTTTCCAGACGGTGTGTGATCAATTTCATTCTAACACTAGGTAATTCTGGGCTGTCTTTTTGATTTCTTGAGTATCTGTGGGCATCTTGTGCATCTTTTTTTAAACTTAGGTTTCTACACCATCATCCCGACTAAAGGAGATCGTCAGTACTCGTTGTCTTGCGGGGAGTGTTATGACAATAAATGATGGACTATTGACCTCGTATTTTGTGCTTTGTGCCTTTTAGGAGGAAGGCGCTTGTGCCTCCCCACTCTCTCCTCTTATTTTAAAGCATGTAATAAAGCACATATTGCACTGTAGTGAAATAAGCACTAAACTGGGAGTCAGGAGACACTTGAAATTTAATTCTAGTCCTGAAAGGAAGTCAAATGGCAACTATGATTAAATTTGTCTTTCTAATCAAATATTAGCCATGGGCTAGTCATTTAATCTCACTACCTCATCTTGCCCATCTGTTAAATAGGAATTTACTGACAACAGCTATATTTGCCAGTGCATTTGACATATCACTAAAGGTAAAAGGGCTTTATATTCTGAGGATGACACTATTTTGGATTGTAAATACTGAAACACTGGAAAATACAATAAATTCTCCAACTTAAGTGTTAATTATAAGGTCTTCAACTTACTTCAAACATTATTGTAACCAACTCTTGGCCTGTCTTCTCTAAGGGAGGAGAGTGATGATATAGATTAATCCAAAATAATGGATTACACTCACATTATTTTTGGTTTAGAATGTATTGTGTGTGTTTTTAAGCAAGGTAATAATGCCTTTGTTAGGCAAATGTTATTCAAAATTTACAGTTTCATAAACTCAGACCAAATAGTTGGTAGAAGGTAGCTCAAGAAAGAAATGAACATTTCTTAAACAATTATGTGGCCCAGGCATCTCTTTCATGTGTTATCCCCAGCATACAACTTTGAGGAAGATGTTACTATTCCTACATTTGCATTTGAGGAAGCAGGAACTTAGGTTAAAAAACCCTTGCTCAGAGTCACACTGCTAGA